TCTGGTGGTTTATTGGAGATAGGAGTCTCATGGTCTTTCCTGCCCGGGCTGGCTTTGAACCGCGATCCTCAGATCTCAGCCTCCTGAGTAGCTAGGATTACAGGCGTGAGCCACCAGCGCCCGGCTTTATTTTTATTTTCTTAATGCTAGACAAGTGTTCAACACCTCCAGGCCTTGAATTTTTGTGGGGCTTGAACTCAGAACCTGGGCACTGTCCCTGAGCTCTTTCCTCAAGGCTAGCGTTCTACCACTTTAGGCCACAGCACCACTTCCCAGTTTTCCTATGGTTAACTGGAGATGAGTCTCATGGACTTTTCTGCCCAGGCTGGCTTTGAACCATGATATTCAGATCTCAGCCTCTTGAGTAGCTAGGATTATAGGGGTGAGCCACCAGCAGCTGGCATCCTTGAACCTTTTATTTATTATTATTATTTATTTTTTTGCTGGTCATGGGGCCTGAACTCTGGGCCTGGGTGCTGTCCCTCAGCTCTTCAGCTCAAGGCTAGCACGCTACCACTGGAGCAACAGCACCACTTCCGGCTTTTATGTGGTACTGAGGAATCGAACCCAGGGCCTCATGCTTGCAAGGCAAGCGCTCTACCACTGAGCCACCTTCCCAGCCCCTCCTTGAAGCTTTTAATAATTACTATGTGCACAGTTGACCAGCCATCTGAAAACCAGCTGGATCTTTATCTCATACAACAGATCACCAGAATAGGCTTTAGGTAGATCAAAGATTTAGAAATGAAAAAATAAAACAAAAAAACAAGCTGGGTGTTGGTGGGCCCATGCCTGTAATCCTAGCTACCGAGGCTGAGTTCTAAGGATCAGCTCTCAGGGTTCTGGTGGCTCCTAATAGGTGCTCAGCTAGATTTTTAAATAGAGAAAAGACACAAACCAGTTTCAGGGCTCTGGTTACAATATAGTAATAAAACCCTATATCACTGGTGGCTCATGTCAGTAATCTTAGGTACTCAGGTGGCTGAGATCTGAGGATCACAGTTTGAAGCCAGCCTGGGCAAGAAAGTCTGTGAGACTCCAATTAGCCATCAAGAAATGCCAGAGGGGAAGCTGTGGCTCAGGTTGTAGAGCACTAGTTTTGAGTGAGAAAACCAGAGATAGTGTCCAGGCCCTTAGCTCAAACTCCAGAACCGGCAAAACCTAAAACAAAACCGTGTGTATTGGGTCTCTGGTCTCCCGCTCCTGAGGGACAGGAGTCTGGATTTAGCCCTGGATCAGCAGCAGGGGTTCAAGACAGGACAGGGTGGAGGCGCTTTCCCCAGCAAGCCTGGCACCATGGTGTTTTCTGGGGCCTAGAACTTCCCTCTGCGGCTTCCTGCTTCCTTTTGTCTGGTCCTCCAAGGCCCACGCTTCCTCAGGGGGCCATGGCCAAGGAAGGCCTCAGGGCCACCAGCAAGCTGACCATCCCCGAATGATTGCCCGCACTCCCAGGAAGCATGGCCTTGCTGTTTCCCAGATGTTCAAGCTGAGCCTGTCTCACCACTTTTCCCTCTACTCCTACCCCCTAGCCTCCTCTTCCAAGTGTCTTCAGCCACAAATCTGCAATGCCCAAGTAAGTGTCCTAAAGGTCACTGTGACACCTCTTCCCCTCTATACACGCAGACTGGGACAGCTGGACCCGTCTACAGCAGCCTCTCTCACTGTTCAGGCAGGATAGGACCAGACCTGTCTACTCTTCTACTTACAGGCATGAGCCAGAAAGTAGGTTGATGATTTTTGTTGTTGTTTTTCTTTTCTGTTGGTGCTGGTTCTGGGACTTGATGAGGGTCTGGGACCTGTCCCTGAGCTCTTCTGCTCAAGGTTAGCACTTTACTCACTTGAGCAACATCTCCACTTCCAGTTTTCTTGTGGTTAATTGCAGATATAGTCGCATGGATTTTCCTGCCTGGGCTGGCTTTGAACCATGATCCTCAGATCTCAATCTCCTGAGAAGCTGGGATTACAGGCATGAGCCAACCAGTGCCCAAGTGTCCCTGAACTTCTCCACTCAAGGTTGGTGTTCTACTACTTAAAAGCTCTACTTTGAGCTGAGGCTTGAACTCAGGGCCTGGGCCTAGGCACTGTCCCTGAGCTTTGTTTGCTCAAGGCTAGCACTCTACCACTTGAATCACAGTGTCACTTTTGGCTTTTTTCTGTTTATGTGGTACTGAGGAATCGAACCCAGAGGTTTCATACATGCTAGACAAGCACTCTACCACTGAGCCAACTTCCTAGCCCCCAACAATATATATATATATATATATATATATATATATATATATTTTTTTTTTTTTTTTGGGCCCGGTCGTGGGGCCTGAACTCTGGGCCTGGGCACTGTCCCTCAGCTCTTCAGCTCAAGGCTAGCACTCTACCACTTGAGCCACAACGCCACTTCCGGCTTTTTTCTTTTTGCTTATGTGGTGCTGAGGAATCGAACCCAGGGCCTCAAGCATGCAAGGCAAGCGCTCTACCACTGAGCCACCTTCCCAGCCCCCCCAACAATATATATATATATATATATTTTTTTTTGGGTCCGATTGTGGGGCCTGAACTCTGGGCCTGAGCGCTGTCCCTCAGCTCTTCAGCTCAAGGCTAGCGCTCTGCCACTTGAGCCACAGCACCACTTCCAGCTTTTTTCTTATGTGGTGCTGAGGAATTGAACCCAGGGCCTCAGGCATGCAAGGCAAATGCTCTACCACTGAGCCACCTTCCCAGCCCCCCAACAATATTTTTAACACTTCATTTTACCCTACACCTAGGTAGTGTAACCTCCCATCTGTCTCCAACTCCTCTTCCAGGTGTGTGTGGTCTGCCCGTACTTTCTGAAATCTGTACAGTCTATGGCTTGAGGGCAGTTACCAAAGTCAGAAGGCAAGAATACAACTAGAGAAGACCAAGTTGGGGTAAATTCCGGTTTCTAGATGACTCAGAACAGCAGTGGTCAAAGTGCAGGAGTACAAAGGGGAGGCTGCTAGTGTAGTGGATGTATGGGGCTCCTTTCAGCCTCTCTTTGGTGGAGTTTTCAGATTTCACAAGTAGAACAGGCCAAGAACCCCAAGGAACCCCCAATAGGGAGGGAAGTGAGAGAGGGGCCAATCCTAGCCTCTACTCCCCTAGCTCTGCACAGGATGAAGGGTTCTGGGACTGGCCCATGTGTCCCCCTGAGGCCAGGGCCCTTACATAGCCTGAAGCACAGAGCACTGACAGCCGGAGGTTGTGGTTTGGAGCTGCAATGACTCACACCCCAACTGCTGTATCTAAACCCCAACACTGGAGCTATTAAAAAAGGCTAGCTAGTCCTAGCTACTCAGGAGACTGAGATCTGAGGATTGTGTTTCAAAGCTAGCCTGGGCAGGAAAGTCCAATTAACCCCTAAAGCCCAGAAGTAGATCTGTGGCTCAAAATGGTAGAGTGCTTGAACAAAAAGCTCAGGGACAGTGAGTCCAGGCCCTGAGTTTAAACCCCATGACTGACCGAAAAAGAAAAAAAAAATTGCTTATCCCTGAGTTCAAATGCCAATACTGGTGTTATATATTCGCCCTTCTCCGTTCAATCTCTGTAAACAAATCTCCTCAGGTCTATCACATGCAGTGTGTGGTCAGACAGATAGGCCTAGTCTCATCCTGAGAGCAGCCTACTGAGCAAATGTATTTTGGCTACTTACAATTTTCCATCTGTGGGGCTGGGAAGGTAGCTCAGTGGTAGAGTGCTTGCCTTGCATGCATGAGGAGGCCCTGGGTTCGATTCCTCAGCACCACATAAGCAGAAAAAGCCAGAAGTGGCACTGTGGTTCAAGTGGTAGAGTGCACGCCTTGAGCTGAAGAGCTGAGGGAAAGCACCCAGGAAGAGCTGAGGGAAAGCACCCAGGCCCAGAGTTCAGGTCCCATGACTATCTGGTGAGCTGGTGGCTTTCACCTGTAATCCTAGCTTCTCAGGAGGCTGAGATCTAAGAATCGAAGTTCAAAGCCAGCCTGGGCAGGAAAGTCCGTGAAACTCATTTCCAGAAAACCGGAAGTGGTGCTGTAGGTCAAGTGGTAGAGCGTTAGCCTTGAGCTGAAGAGCTGAGGGACATCGCTCAGGCCCAGAGTTCAAGCCCCATGACCGGACCCAAAAAAAAAAAAAGAAAAAAAAATTCCATCTGTCCTTCCACTTTTTTTTTTTTTTTGGTCCGGTAGTGGGGCCTGAACTCTGGGCCTGGATGCTGTCCCTCAGCTCTTCAGCTCAAGGCTAGCGCTCTACCACTTGAGCCACAGCGCCACTTCCGGCTTTTTTCTTTTTGCTTATGTGGTACTGAGGAATCGAACCCAGGGCCTCATGCACGCAAGGCAAGCACTCTACCACTGAGCCATCTTCCCAGCCCTGTCCTTCTACTTTTTTAGCATGAGGAAGGGGGAGACTCAAACAAGCCCAATTCTCTAACCTCTCAAAGATCTCAGGGAATGTCATGGCTAGGTGTAATAGTGTGTGCTCATAGTCCTCAAGCTTGAGAAGCTCAAGAATTGCTTGTTCTGGGGGTGGGAGACCAGCTGGGGCAAAATAGAGCAAAATAAATTAACTCTTCTAGGCACACTTGTTTGCACTCTCTGTGGCCAGATGGCATTCTGAAGACCTCCATCCCCAGGAGGTGTGGAAGACTCATTCTCGCCTCAAGGGGATGTAAGTAGGTGAGTTAGACATCACTGCTGCTACTCTAACGCCTCCGTTTAAAACTGTTATTTAAAGTTAGGCAAGAGGAGCCAGGTGCTAGTAGCTCACACCTGTAATCCTGGCTGAGGTCTGGTGATCATGGTTCAAAGCCAGCCCAGGCAGGAAACTCTGTGAGACTTTCATCTCCAATAAACCACCAGAAAACTAGAAATAGCGCTGTGTGGCTCAAGTGGCACAGTGCTAGCCTTGAGCTGAAGAACTGAGGGACAGCGCCCAGGCCCAGAGTTCAAGCCCTAGAATGGATCAAAAAAAAAAAAAAAGTTAGGCAAGGGGGGGAAAAAGATAACAGAGTGAAGAATTCATTGTATGTTTATTCACAAGAATTCATTGTATGTTTATTATTCACAGTTAATCACTACCTACCAAATGCTATCCGCAGTTAAAGGATTAAGTACATAGGTCTTTTTATTTAAACACTGATTTTTTTTAAATATATACACACAAAACTTAGTTCAGCAAGGCTTCATGATATACACCAATTCCAAAATAAAACAATCAAATGGTCCAGGTGTGAATGCCAGGGATTCCTTTTGTTGATCATCAGCAGGGTAAGGAGAAGCGGGAGGAGCCAGGAGAGGTGAGAATGCTCCTCTCCTCCTGGTCTTGGGGCGCTGAGAATCTACCTCTACAGATCCTCAAGAACACAAAGGTCCATTCCTGGGGAGAGGCTGAAGGGAGCTTTGCTCTGGTTATGAGGAGGAGGACTGGGTGGGGAGGGGACAGGCACATTACTACAAGGGACCAAAAGTTGGCAGAAAGGCAGAGCTTTGGGGTGGCCTTGGCTTTCCTGTCCTTCCCACCTCACTTCCCACTGTCCCTACCTCTCACCATGGACTAGGGGGAGCAGCTGCAGATGCGGCCCACTGGGTGGGGAGACCATCCTGCCACTTCTCGCTGCGGCCTTACTGCTTACCTGATGAGTTAGGGGAGCCATAGGTGAAAGGCAGGACCTGATTTAAGCGTATGGAAAAAAAGCAAATCCTGTTTCCACCCAGTGTAGAACTACAGTAGGACCTGTGACAGTCAGGTAAGGACAATTTGGGTGCTTCTTTTCCCCTCAGACTTGCAGTGGCTCCATGGACTTGTGCCTGGGGGGCTGGGGAGGTGGCGGTGAGGAGGGATATCTCTGGGAGCAGAGGGACAGGACACACCTGAGATCTGGAAACCAAGACTCCGCTGCCCTTGAAATCTGGCCAGATGCACCCAGTGAGTTAGAGCTGCGACCACCCCCTCTGCAGCTGGCTAGCACCCCTTCCCCTTGGAGGGGCTCCCAAATATTAAAGCTGAGCCTGCATCGCTGGCTGGGCCCAGGCAGATCGCTCACGCCCTCTGCCACTCCCACCTGTCTCCTTCTCTACCCTGCTTCCCCCTCCTCCAGGGGGAATTATTTACAGAGCAGGAGACAAACTGGGCGAAAAGCTCTGGACTGTCTTTAACTTATTTTACAACAAAACAAATTAAAAAAACACCACTCATAAGCAACCTTTGAAATAAGAAAAAAGGCACTATGCAAAACAACATCGCCAACGGCATCTGGAGTTAACAGTGGAAAGCGGGCAGGCTTGCGGCCCAACTGGCCAGACTCTTGGGAGGTCACAGGGCTTTGGGGGCAGGGGCCTCCTTCCCCTCCCCCTCTAATTCCCACTGTGAAGAAGGGTTAGGGGGACAGGCAGAGGTCCTCTTCTGGAGGAGGGGGGTTCCAACAAAGGCCCCAGGCTGCCCTGCCCACTCCTTTTTGTGTGTATATATGAAGAACACAGGCTGTCCTTTCTGTCATTTCCACCAAAACAGACATTTTGCATAGAGAAAATACCAGCCCGCTTGGTTTCTTTTCTTTTATTATTGGCATCAGCTGGGGCTATATGCGGCCTTAAACGTCATGCACTGAGGACAGGAGAAAAAGGATGAGAAAAAGGACACAGGAGGCAAACAGGAGCAGCGGTGAGAATCTGTAATAAAAACTCTTCTTAATTCATAGGTAAGTTTTGGCATTTTGATATCCAACGCCCCTTCCCACCCCCACCCCCCCAAAGTTGCAACCAAAGTGAGATGGTCACCAGTGTGACCCAGCCAGGTGTTCTCCACTCCCCGCAGGAGGCAGCTTGTGGGGAGATTTCATTTGTATTTTTCAACTTTCCACTTTCTTTAAATAATCTGTCTGGCTTGTTAGACGTTCCGGTTCACCGGAGTGACGTAATTGCGAGGAAACATGCCGGTCTGCCCGTGGCAAGCCCCCTTCCACCAATTGGGGTCAGAGTTATCCATGACGTGGATGAAGTCTCCCCGGCGGAAGCCCAGCTCACCATCCTCCTGGGGGTCAAAATCAAAGAGGGCCTGCACGTACGTGGGCTGCTGCAAAAGAGGAGCAGGGAGACACAGGCATCCTGATTCCCAATTCTGCCACTGCTGTCCCTGCAGGCTGGCGGTGCACACGTCCCTCTGCTGTCACTACCCATATGCCCCACTGCTTCCTCTTTTTTTTTGCTGGTCCTGGGGCTTGAACTCAGGGCCTTGGCTCTGTCTCTGAGCTGCTTTTTGTTCAAGACTAGCACTCTATCACTTGAACTTCTGGCTTTTCTGAGTAGTTTATCAGAGATAAGTCTCAAAGACTTTTCTACCTACTCTGGCTTCGAACACAATCCTCAGATCTCAGCTTCCTGAGTTGCTAGGATTACAGGCGTGAGCCACTGATGCCATGCTACCCCATTTATTCTTATACATTCTAAGTTTGCCCTTAGGAAAGTTCACAATATTTCATGCTCCAAATATAATAAGATATATCTCACTGAGGAGGGCCCAAGGGGCCACATTATTAAGTAAGGAGCAGAAGAATGGGGTGGGGGTTCTCTGAAAATGTTTGCACTCCTATCACTCACTTAAGGTTTGATAGATTCAAAAGGTCTAGAAGTGTAGTAAAACAAGGTGCTCCTTACATGGCTCAGGACTGGGGTATCAGTAGCGAGGGTGGACCCCACACCTCGTCAAAACATGGCTTGCCTTGCCACCTGCTCCCGGGGCAGAACAGGTGGGAGAGAATGTATAAGGGGCTATCTCCCAGAGAAAGCCTAGCAGCACAGCCTTCCAGATGCACTTGCCATGTTATTCCACACTACAGATGTTCAACGTAAATTAGGGCAGCCGTAACCTGGAGAAGGGCTGCCCTGGCTCTGCAGAGCTCCTTCCTCGTGCTGGAAGAGGTCTTGGCTCAGTCTTACCTGTGGCACTTGTTCTATGTCTCGCAGGAATATCTGCTGGTTCCTGGACACGGATGTCGATCTATGGTAATCTACCAGCTCATTCAAAGAATTGAACTTCACCACCCAGAGGAAATACTTTCCAGCTCCATCGCGGAGCACCTTGAAGTGCTGCACGTCATTACCGAACCTGGGGAGGCGCAGAGAACACATGTGAGCTGGCCACAGTCCTGCCATGTCAGCACTGCCCATACAGTAGGTGCTGAGAGGCACTTCTCACTGCTTGAGGACACCCCTTGCCTATTGGCTGGGGAGAGCCAGGCATTCGCCAGGCATCCTCGGGCTGTCTCCATGACTGACCATCACCAGTAATAATGAGAAGAATCCGCAGAGGGGGAAACATCATCCACCGTCAGATCTCAAAGATGTCTGTCCTAACACCAAATAATAGCTCCTTAAAAAAAAATAAAGAGTCAGGCTCATGCCTGTCATCCTAGCTACTCAGGAGGCTGACATCTGAGGATCACAGTTCAAAGCCAGCCCAGGCAGGAAAGTCTATGAGACTCTTATCTCCAATAAATCACTAGAAAACTGGAAGTGGCGCTGTGGCTCAAGCGTTAGAGCACCAGCCTTGAGCTGAAGAGCTGAGGGATAGCTCCCAAGCCGAGTTCAAGCCCCATGACTGACAAAAAAAAAAAAACAACAACAAAAACAAAGATTGTGGCTTATCTTCCTTAAAAAAAAAAAAAGTTGGAAGTGGCACTGTGGTTCAAGTGGTAGAGTGCAAGCCTTTTGTACAAAAGCTCAGGAACAGTGCTCAGGCATGAGTTCAAGCCCCAGGATGAGAAAGAAAGAAAAAGGAAAAAAGTGACATTCAAACACTACAAAATATATGATGGGAAAAAGGTGAGAAGAAATTAGAAGTTTTGCTATAATTCTCCTGGGACAGGAAATGGTTAAAAGTTGTGCTTTTACTAGGTGCTGGTGACTCATACTTGTAATCTAGCTACTCAGGAGGCTGACATCTCAGGATCACCAATCCAAGCCAGTCCAGGCAGGAAAGTCCAGGAGATTCTTATCTCCAACAAACTACTCAGAAAAAGCAGGAAGTGGCTCTGAGGCTAAAGTGGTAGAGCATTAGCCTTGAGCAAAAGAAGTGCAAGAACGGAGGCCAGGCTCAGAGTTCAAACTCCAGGGCTGGGAAAAAAGAAAAAAAAAAAAGTTGTGCTTTCATTCAGAATGTTAGCTATGTTCCCTTTTCAGGTGAAAAAGGTCTCAGAATAGGCTGGTTGCCAGTTTGAGGCCAGCCTGGGCTACACAGTGAGACCTCTTCTCAAAACAAAGAAGCATTAAAGGTCTCAGATCAAATGACTTTCAGGGACAATAAATAAACAAGGCCCAGGGCTGGGAAGGTGGCTCGGTAGAGCGCTTGCCTTGCATGGCATGCATGAAGCCCTGGGTTCGATTCCTCAGCACCACATAAGCAGAAAAAGCAGGAAGTGGTGCTGTGGCTCAAGTGGTAGAGCGCTAGCCTTGAGCTGAAGAGCTGAGAGCCAGCACCCAGGCCCAGAGTTCAAGCCCCATGACTAACCAAAAAATAAACAAGGCCCAGCTATCAGAGAAACAACAGCTGCCTTATTGGGTAACATGCTTCCTTTTGCACTGGTCAGCAAAAAAAAGCAGCAAGTGTGACTGACTGGTGCTGACCCAAGGTGTTTGCCACAGTGTCACCTGACCTGGACAGGAGATCACGGAGAGCTCTGTGTCCTGGTGAACAACAAGCCCTCAAGAGGAAACGGGCATTTGTAAAATGAATGGAGTCTCCCCTCTGTTTATCCTTAAAGCTTGGAAAAAACCAGATGATTCCTACAGATAATCCAGCAGGTGGCAGCACTGAACACAAGACATCCACTTTGCAAACTACAATAGTTCCCCCTTATTCTTGGGAGATTAGTCGCAAGACCCTCAGAAGACGTCTGAAAGCAGAGATGACACCAATGCTTACTGTATCTGCTCTGCGTACTATACATACAACATTTTCTTCCCTTTACCACAACCCTAGGGTAAAGCTTAGCTTTCAGTAAAAGATTAATAATAAGAAATAGAACAATTTCCTGAACTAAGTTATTTCTGGGAAAAAGTGACTTCTGGAATCTCCCATTTAGTATTTTCAGACTGCAGCTGATCTTAGGAACTGCAGATTAGCGAGGCTACTGGCCTGCGTCTCTGTGCTAAGTGGACGGCAAGGGCTTTGGGAGGAAGGTCACCCTCACAGAACACCACGCGTCTCCAAAGCCAGCTTGTTCCGTGTGAGGCAGCGGCTTCTGACACAAAGCATTCTGACAGCCAGTGTCAGTCAGCAACACTCTTATCACCCAGCCACATCTCTAGTCCACTCAGTGTTGCAGATCAAGACCAAACATCTAGAAACTAGAAGTATCTCAGAGGCCTGATGTTGCTTCAACTCCCTTTGGGAAGACATTTGTGTTGTTAAAAGGCAGCAATGACATCTGCTTTGTTTTTAGCTTCTGAAACAACAAATACACTAAGTCCCTAAAAGTCTTTTTTTTTTTTTTTTTTGGTGCTTGTACTGGGACTTGAACTCAGGACTTACACTGTCCCTTAGCTTATTTGCTCAAGGCTGGTGCTCTATAACCTGAGTCAGTTTCTTTTCTGCTTTTTTGATGGTTAACTTGAGGTCAGTGTCTCGTGGACTTTCAGCCTGGGCTAAAACAGCAATCCTCAGATTTCAGCCTCCTGAGTAGCAAGATTACAAGTGTGAGCCACAAGGCCTGACTCCTAAAAGATTTTATCTGATAGAAGGGAACAGCTTGTCCGTCCCTAGCACCGGTGGTGGTGGGAGCTGCGCAGTGATGGCTGGGCAGACAGCCCGCCCCCCAGCTCAAGTGGGCTGCCCAGTCCTGTCGGCCCCACCCGCTGCTTAACCACTTGTTGTCTAGTGGAAGTGGAAGACAGCAAAACAGATGACGCACAAGCTAAGGAGAAGCATACAAATGATAATTCCACAACCCACCTCACCGGGATCCTCATTAGACCCTCACTTCTGCTTGTTCAATCAAATGCTTCAAAAAGCCCTCGTTACAAGAGGGGTGATTATTACATTGTGTTAGGAATCAAAGACAACTGTACTATAGATATATTTGAAGCACCACAAACCTATCACAATTGTACATTTTAATCTATATTTCAAAAAGACAAGTAGTACAGTTTTGAAATCGGAAAAGTCTTATGCTTTATTTTCATTTGTTAACAAGAACTGGTTTATAGCTTTCCTTTAAAAAAACTTTTAATGGAAGTAATCTATAACAAAATAGTAATCTGAATGTTTAACCTAATCACCTGCTTGTAAACGATGAAATGATTTTTTTTATGATTCCTGAGGGTTTCCTATGAAATATATTAACTAGAAAAAAGCTGAGATGGGCGCTGGTGGCTCACGCCTGTAATCCTAGCTACTCAGGAGGCTGAGATCTGAGGATCGAGGTTCAAAGCCAGCCCGGGCAGGAGAGACCGTGAGACTCCTATCTCCAATAAACCACTAGAAAACCGGAAGTGGCACTGTAGCTCAAGTGGTAGAGCGCCCACCTTGAGCTGAAGAGCTGAGGGACCAGCGCCCAGGCCCAGAGTTCAAGCCCCACGACCGACAAAAAAAAAAAAAAAGCTGAAAGTGACAATTTAACTTGAAATTCTCTTCCAGAGATGAAGTGTAAGTTGGTCTAGAATCCTTAAAAAAGTTCCAGTTTTTACTTGGTATGTGATTCTCAGGGTAGTATGATTCCCAAGGGAAAGTAAGCCCCCAAATCTCTAGTGGTTCCAGGCCTGGTGGCTCATGCCTTTAATCCCAGCTTCTCGGGAGGTAAAAACTGGAAGGAGTGAGGTTGGAGTCCAGGTCAAATTCCTTGGAACCTTTTCGAGTTAATATGACAGGTGCAAGACAGGCTGGAGCTGTCTGATAAAGGCAAGGCAAGGCAGCTGCGCAGCCACCCACCAGACACACCGAAGGCCGTAGAGGAGTGGTAGGGACGGGGGAATAGCAGCTGCAACAGACTCTGTAGTTCAAAACTCTTTAATGGGCTGGGCACGTGGCTTTTTTGATAGAGCGCTTGCCTAGCATGCGTGAAGCCTTGGGTTCGATTCCTCAGGACCACATAAACAGACAATCCCAGAAGTGGTGCTGTGGCTCAAGTGGTAGAGAGCTAGCCTTAAGCAAAAGCAGCTCAGGGACAGTGACCAGGCCCTGAGTTCAAGCCCAGGACTGGCAAAAAATGAAAAAATCAAACTCACAAAAAAACTCTTCTATAGAACCATGTCTTCATTCTAAACCCAGCACTGCTAGAACTTTCAGAAGAGCCAACAATTAGACTTTTAATGTAGAATTAAAATGCCAGTTAGATTAAGCCTCTTCCACTTTGTGTGTTGCCAGTCACCTGACCAATGGCTGCTCAGGTTTAATCAGCCCAAGCCAGGGGTGCGGTGGCTCCAGCAGGAAATACTTACTTGACGGAGAGGGAAAAATCGCCAGGAGCACTCTCGCTCTCTCGAATTAGAAAGGCCCCATCGTGCCGCTGTTTGCTAAGCATCTCTTCTGCCTTGGCTCTGGGGATTTTGCCAAAAAACCACCTAAGGAAGGAAGGCAAGCCAGTCAACATCTGCTTCCCCACAAAGAAACGGGATGTTCCGCCTTAAATGTCAGCAGCAGACACTCCTTCCAGAGGAAGAGGCTCGCCCTTTACCCTCTGGTCTTACGGTGCCCAATGCACACTGACATTAGCGCCCATCCTTCCTGAGGGATGGGCTCTCCACAGCTTTCCTCACGCTCCTTCCCACAATGCCACAAGACACTATCATAGGCTGCTCTTTCTGGGGAGAGAAACAAGAATGGGCTTCTGGAGCCAAAGCCCCCAAGTCTCTGAAAGACACTAGGAAAAACCCAGGCCTGAGAATGGCAGCACAGGGCAGACCATAGCGGGAGAGCCAGATGGTTCTTCCAGTAAGCTGGCTAAGGAAGAGCACTGCACTGCAGGAACAGGGCTGTGGGGGAGGGATGCTTCGAGGCCCAGAAGTTGGAGGCAGAACTGAGAGCCAAAGGGAAGAAGCCTGTACCTTTGCAGTTGAATGTTGCAACCTATCGTGGACTCCTTAATCTGTTGCAACCAGTAGCAATGCAATAATGGAGACCAGGCCATGGAATTGAGCTTTGGGGTACCAGGGGACCTGTAGCCTTCCGCCAGCAACAGCTCCCAACATTCCATTAACCAAGGTTTTTTATTGGTCTTGTGCAAGGAAGTAAGATACAAACTTCAACATGTGACAATATTTCATATGCAAGTGGTAGGTGACCTTCTTATTCTGGGAAGGAGAGCTGACTAGTAAACAGCCTTCAATTTGCATAAACCTAAGTCTACCCTTAGGTTCCCACAGTTTAGGGTGGAATCTGAGTTTCCCTTAAGCCAGGACTGATTGACCTTTCCAGGAAAACTCAGCTTTCTAGAGTGTACTGGGAGAAGGCATTCCAACTCCCAATCCTTTTGGGGCTCTCACAGTAGAAAGTCAATATTCCACTTGGGTCTAACATCAACAGAAAGGGGGATTCTATTCACTGAAAGGCAATGGACATAACTAGAAAGCTACCGACGTCTGGCTTGGCTTTGGCTTCTTTTATTTATTTTTATTTATTTATTTATTTTTGGGTCCGGTCATGGGGCCTGAACTCTGGGCCTGGGCGCTGTCCCTCAGCTCTTCAGCTCAAGGCTAGCGCTCTACCACTTGAGCCACAGCACCACTTCTGGCTTTTTTCTCTTTGCTTATGTGGTGCTGAGGAATCGAACCCAGGGCCTCAAGTATGCAAGGCAAGCACTCTACCACTGAGCCACCTTCCCAGCCCCATTTATTTTTATTTATTTTTCGGTCGTGGGGCTTGAACTCTGGGCCTGGGCACTGTCCCTCAGCTCTTCAGCTCAAGGCGAGCGCTCTACCACTTGAGCTACAGCGCCACTTCCAGTTTTCTGGTGGTTTATTGGAGATAGGAGTCTCACGGTCTCTCCTGCCCGGGCTGGCTTTGAACCGCGATCCTCAGATCTCAGCCTCCTGAGTAGCTAGGATTACAGGCGTGAGCCACCAGCACCCGGCTGCTTTGGCTTCTTTTAAAGAAAGTAAAATGTCTTAAGGAAAGCAAAAAGGTTAAAGATTCTTCTCAGAGCCTCTGTCTGGGGTCATAGCTCAGCAGATGGCTTGCAGGCCATCAGAAAGAGGTTGGGAATACAGTTTAGTGAGGGTGTGCATGTCCCCCCTTCACACTATCATCTTCAAAGGACTACCTGAAAAGTTAAGATTCATTTTTCTCATTTGAAAAAGTTATAGCTGGGTGCCGGTGGCTTATACCTGTAATCCTAGCTACTCAGGAGGCTGAGAGCTGAGGATTGAGGTTCAAAGCCAGCCCGGGCAGCAAAATCTGTGTGATTCTTATCTCCAATAAACCACCAGAAAATTAGAAATGGCATTGTGGCTTAAATGGTAGAGTGCTTGCCTTGAGCTGAAGAGCTCAGGGGCAGTGCCCAAGCCCAGAGTTCAAGCCCCATGACTAAAACAAAAACAAACAACAAAAAAGAATAATAACGTCTTCGGTTCCCAATGCTAGTTTGCTTTGACCAGAAGAAAGAGTGGCTGAATTCAGAGAAAACTGTGGGAGCAACTGACCTATGGTTCACAGGTGTGTGTGTGTATGTATGTATGTATGTATGTATGTATGTATGTGTGTGTGTGTGTGTGTGTGTGTGTGTGTGTGTGTGTAAGCACGTTTCCTTCCATTTCAAAAGAAAATCACTACTAATTAGTATGGAGGGAAAAATAATTAGGAAAGGACATTTTTTTCCACAATCATTTTCAATGTTTTACTATGAAAAAAAAAGCAAAGCCATTTATTTATAGCTCAGATTTATCTTTTTTTCTTTTCTGTTGCTGAATCAGGATTCCAACTCATGGACGCTTTGCTTAATGGCTGATGTTCTAACCAAATGGAGCCATGCTTCCCACCCCTAAGATTTATCTTTTGTGGTAACTGCAAATTAACATTTGCATTTAACATGCAAATGATAAAACAAAGTTGGAAGCAAAGTGCTACAAGAAGTTTCCAAGCAGACACTGTGGGGGAAACAGGCTATACTGCGGGAGACACCTGGAAACTGTCCACCAGAACCTGAACATCCCCAAACCCAGTGCGGGTGTCACTCTCACTTTGTAGGCTTTGATGCCAGGCTGCACACTCTGTACAACTTGTCCTCTTGCTTCTACAAATACTCAGGGGAATCCTGCAGGGCCGGGAACCAGGTCACACCAGAGTAATGCTGTCTTAACAGAGCAGCTGGCTCTCAGAGGATGAAAGGAGGGCACAGAAACATTTTCTGGTCACTGGTGCTTTTGAGGGCGAGGCGGGCTTGTGTGCAGTGTGCATGTGACTGGTCCAGAGAAAGGACGCACAGGGACATGCTCTCACTCCCGAACTATAGTGGGTAGGGGTGAAGGTTCTCAAAATGGAGTAGAGCACCAGCCACACAAGGCAAGCGAGCTGAGCAAGTACTAGGTCCTGAGTTCAAACCCTAGTACTGAAAAAAAGAAACGAAAGAAGGAAAGAAGGAAGGAAGGAAGGAAGGAAGGAAGGAAGGAAGGAAGGAAGGAAGGAAGGAAGGAAGGAAGACGAAAGAAGGAAAGAAGGAAGGAAGGAAGGAAGGAAGGAAGGAAGGAAGGAAGGAAGGAAGGAAGGAAGGAAGGAAGGAAGGAAGGAAGGAAGGAAGAGAAGTTTCCAAATCTATTCCTGTTATAACAAATGGAAGCTGGACACCAATGGCTCACACCTATAATCTTAGCTACTCAGGAGGTTGGTAGATGACACTCAACATCAATTAACAACCAAAAAAGTTGCAAGTGGAGCAGGGACTCAAGTAGCAGGGCATCAGCCTTGAGTGAAAAAAAAAAAGCTCAGGGAAAATGCCCAAGCGTCAGAGCCCAAAAATCCAAGCTGTGAGACCACAAAGGATTGGGAGTTTGGAATGCCTTCACTCTAGAAAGCTGAGTTTCCCTAGGAAACTCAGTCAATCAGTCCTGGCTTAGGGGAACTCAGAGTCCACCCTAAACTGTGTGGGAACCTAAGGGTAGACTTAGGTTTATGCAAATTGAAGGCTGTTTACTAGTCAGCTCTCCTTCCCAGAATAAGAAGGTCACCTACCACTTTATATCAAATATTGTCACATGTTGAAGTTTGTACCTTACTTCCTTGCATAAGACCAATTAAAAACCTTGGTAAATGGAATGTTGGGATCCGTTGCTGGTGGAAGGCTACAGGTCCCTTGGTTCTTCAAACCTTAGTTGCATGGTCCAGTCTCCTTATTGTGTTGCTCCAGGTCACTACGGATTAAGGGGCACCAGGCAGGTTGTGACACCCAGGCCTCTAGTTCAAGCCCCAAGAACATCACAAATAAATAAGGTAAGAAATAAAAAATAGAAAAGAAAAAAGAAAATTGTTAAGAGACTATTTCATTAAAAAAGATTTCTTGTGAATACATACACTCTCTGACTGTTTGAAAGAGAATGAGCAAGAGGACAATTACACTGCATTGGTTCTTTCTTTCTCTCTCCTTTTTTTTGGTCAGTCATAGGGCTTGAACTCTGGGCCTGGTCACTGTCCCTCAGCTTTTCAGCTCAAGGCTAGTGCTCTACCACTTGAGCCATAGTGCCACTTCCGGCTTTTTCTGCTTATGTGATGCTGAGGAATCAAACCCAGGGCCTCATTCATGCGAGGCATGCACTCTACCACTGAGCCACCTTCCTAGCCCTTTCTCCCTTTTTTTTCTTGTCAGTCATGGGGCTTGAACTCTGGGCCTGGGCACTGTCACTCAGCTCTTAAGGTGAGTGCTCTACCACTTGAGCCACAGTGCCATTTCTGGTTTTCTGGTGGTTTACTGGAATGAGTCTCATAGACTGTCCTGCCTGGACTAGCTTTGAACCTCGATCCTCAGATCTCAGCCTCCGGAGTAGCTAGGATTACAGGAGTAAAGTCACCAGCGCCCAATTGTTCCTTTCCCTTTCCTCCCCTCCCTTCCCCTTCTTTTTTTCCCAGCCCTGGGGCTTGAACTCAGGTCCTGGGCACTGTCCCTAAGTTTCCTTTGCTCAAGGTTAGCATTCTACCACTTGAGCCACAGTGCTACTTCCAGCTTTTTCTGTTTATGTGGTACTGAGGAATTAAACCCAGGGCTTCATGCATGCTAGGCAAGCACTCTACCACTAAGCCACATACATTCCAGACCTGTACTGTTTAGTTCTGAGACAGGGATGTGCTTTCTGCTCAGAGTCATTCATCTGAACTTTGGTCTGCCTAAAAGAAATGCTTTCTTTTTTTTTTAGGTCTGGAACTGGGACTTGAACTCAGTTCCTGATGCTTTGGTTCACTGGCTAGCAACTCTACCAACTGAGCCACAGTTCCAACTCCTTTTTTTTGGGGGGGGGCAGTCATGGGGCTTGAACTCTGGGCCTGGGCGCTGTCCCTCAGTTCTTCAGCTCAAGGCCAACACGTAGAGTGTTGAGCCACAGTGCCACTTCCAGTTTTCTGGTAGTTTACTGGAGATAAT